GGGGGGGGAAGGGGGAACGACTGGAAAATGTGTGTCTTACATGAGAGACAAGCTGATTGCTGTTTGACATTTTAATTATCATAATTGAGAGGAAAGTGAGGGGGAGAGAAGGTTCAGGGATGAATGAGAATGAGCAAGAAGCGGCGATGGAAAGTGACTCCGCACAACAGATAAATGGACTTATTGAACAGAATGCAATGGTGCATGCTCAGCCAATCAGAAGTCCTGGCTAATTAGTGTACCCGCTCTGAGGTGTTGAAAACGGAATTGACTTAACTGCAGTTTGGCAGCAGCGGGATGTTGTAGCATGTGAGCTGTCAACAGATATCTGGAGATTAGAAATATCTTAAACTTTATCGGAGGCTGCGATAAGGGTCAGGAAGTTCCCAAACTTCACAATTGGCACAATTGTAATGTATGATCCCAACCCAACTTGTAACACCCTCCTCTCGGCTCTTCCAATGACCGGACTGACACAATTCTACCCCATTCATCCCATCTGATGATTGTAATCCCCTCCACTGGGGTCTACCAATGACTGGACTGGCACCATTCTACCCCATTCATCCCATCTGATGATTGTAATCCCCTCCACTGGGGTCTACCAATGACTGGACTGGCACCATTCTACCCCATTCATCCCATCTGATGATTGTAATCCCCTCCACTGGGGTCTACCAATGACTGGACTGGCACCATTCTACCCCATTCATCCCATCTGATGATTGTAATCCCCTCCACTGGGGTCTACCAATGACTGGACTGGCACCATTCTACCCCATTCATCCCATCTGATGATTGTAATCCCCTCCACTGGGGTCTACCAATGACTGGACTGGCACCATTCTACCCCATTCATCCCATCTGATGATTGTAATCCCCTCCACTGGGGTCTACCAATGACTGGACTGGCACCATTCTACCCCATTCATCCCATCTGATGATTGTAATCCCCTCCACTGGGGTCTACCAATGACTGGACTGGCACCATTCTACCCCATTCATCCCATCTGATGATTGTAATCCCCTCCACTGGGGTCTACCAATGATTGGACTGGCACCATTCTACCCGATTCATTCCAGTCTGACTATTGTAACACCCTCCTCTGGGGTCTACCAATGACTGGACTGGCACCATTCTACCCGATTCATTCCAGTCTGACTATTGTAATACTTTCCTCTGGGGTCTACCAAAGACCGGACTGGCACCATTCTACCCCATTGATCCCATCTGATGATTGTAATCCCCTCCACTTGGGTCTACCAATGACTGGACTGGCACCATTCTACCCCCATTCAACCAAGCCTGACGATTGTAACACCCTCCTCTGGGGTCTACCAATGACCAAACTGGCACCATTCTGCCCTATTGGGCCGAGTCTGACTATTGGAACACCCTCCTCTGGGGTCTACCAATGACCGGACTGGCACCATTCTACCCCATTGAGCCCAACCTGACTATTGTAGTAACACCCTCCTCTGGGGTCCACCAGTGACCTGAATGGCACCATTCTACCCCATTGATCCCATCCTGACTATACTATTGATCCAGCACTTCTTTCTCCTCCAGTATCTGATTGCTGAAATAAGCTCAGTTAGACTCATAGAGAGTCTATTATTTGTACTCAGACAGAGCCATAGACTTGTTTTAGACCCCATTCACACTTTCCGAATGGGACTGATTGCACAAATCTTAGGGATTCCTCCATGAGGCTCATATGATCTGCTGCAGGTGGGAGGTGCAGTACAATACAATGACAGTGGTGCCTGCAGATGTTTGCATGTAATTGCTCAGCCTGCGATTAACTGCGGACAACCACACCAGGATGCAGACTGTTTGTCTCACGGTACGGAAGTCCCAGTGCAGTCGTCTGCAGGTAATCGCAGGCTGTGCAATTACATGCAAACAACTGCAGGTGGTGGCAGCTGTCATTGTATAGTACTGCACCTCCCACCTGCAGCAAATCACAGGAGTCACCCAGAGATATCCATGAGACTAATGCGATCGGCACCATTCACAAGTGTGGACATGCAGCAACGCAGTCACTATACGGTAGTACTAAGTAGGAAGCTGAGGCTGCATATGTAGTGAACAAATATGGCTGCCCCTATGTACATATACAAACTAGACACGTAAACAAGGTTTTTTTTCCCCCTAATCATCATCTACTGAGCAGGAAAGAAAGCTGGGAAAATACTTTATTTCCCCTGCAACATATTTATGGCAAAATGGCTCTGGCACATCCCATTGTTTGACAACAACATGGTACAAGCCCGAATTTTCCTTCGACTCCGAAAGGTCAACGGAGCAGAGTTTTCACTAGGAACAGAGAGTTGCTATGTAAAAAATATCCTGTTTAATAAATTTGTGTTGCGAAAAATGTTAATCTGCTTTCCATCACGTTGCTCTGGGTCTGCTCGCTGCGCTCTGCCATAAAGTCAGTGGCGGAGTGCAGGGTGCAGTGATTCATCCAAGGAGGCCCTTGCCAGCAGAGGTGACCGGGGCCAGCGCCGGAGGAGAATGGAGAAATGCTTGGAATCAGTTCCTTCCCACTCCTAACAAACAGCGCAGCTCTACAGACAGGCAGAGGGCAGAGAGAGAGCGCCCCGCCAGGGAGGATCAGTCATACAATCGTATTGTATAATAGACTCCGGTCAAAGGGAAAATCAACACGATGGCGAGCAAGTTCAAGTAGCGCGCAGGGTGGACGGGAAATGGAATGGGATCATCCAGGAGTCAGGCAGCATGCTGTGTGCTGGGGGTGACAGCAGCCAGCATCAGGGGTAGGCAACCTCGGCCTACCCAAATCCCATCATGCTTCTGCCTCTGGGGGTCATACAGGTGGCTGTCAGAGTCTTGCAATGCCTCATGGGACTTGGAGTTCCCCCACAGCTGGGGTGCCAAGGTCACCAACCACTGGCTCTTTTCCGTTACATTGGAATGTCTGACAGCCATTTAGCTTTTATGGTTAAACACCAGGCATACATGTCAAATACATATGCGGGAGCATATAAAATGATTTGTATCCCTCCAGTTCTGAGATTTATACAGTTTTGCCTCAGGGGCGTCCCGAGGTCGGGTGTCAGGTGCCACCCCTCAGTGTCGTCACCACGCATGCGCGTGACATCACCTCGCGCATGCACAATGACGTCATCGCACATGCACGACCATCTAATTGATGCCTGCCGGTGAGCATCTTGGTGATGGACGCCGGCAGGGAGCGGACGGGACATTCACCCGGCGGGATGAGGTATGCCGTCGGGTCCCCTCCTCTCTCCGGGCACTGTCGGGCTCTCGGTCCATGTCCGAGTGCCCGACTTTTCAGAGGGGGTGACACCAAAATGACTGTCAGTCACAAGACCTGGCCTTGGGGCGGCAGGGAGAGTAAATCCGGCCCTGACTGTAAGCTCTTCTACCTTGTGTATCCTTCCTTATATACTAATAGATTGTAAGCTCTTCTACCCTCTGTATCCTCCCTTATACCTAATAGATTGTAAGCTCTTCTACCTTCTGTATCCTTCCTTATATACTAATAGATTGTAAGCTCTTCTACCCTCTGTATCCTCCCTTATACCTAATAGATTGTAAGCTCTTCTACCTTCTGTATCCGTCCTTATATACTAATAGATTGTAAGCTCTTCTACCTTCTTCTGACACAATTCTACCCCATTCATCCCAGCCTGACTATTGTAACACCCTCCTCTCGGCTCTTCCAATGACCGGACTGACACAATTCTACCCCATTCATTCCAGCCTGACTATTGTAACACCCTCCTCTGGGGTCTACCAATGACTGGACTGACACAATTCTACCCCATTCATCCCATCTGATGATTGTAATCCCCTCCTCTGGGGTCTACCAATGACTGGACTGACACAATTCTACTCCATTCATTCCAGCCTGACTATTGTAACACCCTCCTCTGGGGTCTACCAATGACCGGACTGACACAATTCTACCCCATTCATTCCAGCCTGACTATTGTAACACCCTCCTCTGGGGTCTACCAATGACTGGACTGACACAATTCTACCCCATTCATCCCATCTGATGATTGTAATCCCCTCCACTGGGGTCTACCAATGATTGGACTGGCACCATTCTACCCGATTCATTCCAGTCTGACTATTGTAACACCCTCCTCTGGGGTCTACCAATGACTGGACTGGCACCATTCTACCCGATTCATTCCAGTCTGACTATTGTAATACTTTCCTCTGGGGTCTACCAAAGACCGGACTGGCACCATTCTACCCCATTGATCCCATCTGATGATTGTAATCCCCTCCACTTGGGTCTACCAATGACTGGACTGGCACCATTCTACCCCCATTCAACCAAGCCTGACGATTGTAACACCCTCCTCTGGGGTCTACCAATGACCAAACTGGCACCATTCTGCCCTATTGGGCCGAGTCTGACTATTGGAACACCCTCCTCTGGGGTCTACCAATGACCGGACTGGCACCATTCTACCCCATTGAGCCCAACCTGACTATTGTAGTAACACCCTCCTCTGGGGTCCACCAGTGACCTGAATGGCACCATTCTACCCCATTGATCCCATCCTGACTATACTATTGATCCAGCACTTCTTTCTCCTCCAGTATCTGATTGCTGAAATAAGCTCAGTTAGACTCATAGAGAGTCTATTATTTGTACTCAGACAGAGCCATAGACTTGTTTTAGACCCCATTCACACTTTCCGAATGGGACTGATTGCACAAATCTTAGGGATTCCTCCATGAGGCTCATATGATCTGCTGCAGGTGGGAGGTGCAGTACAATACAATGACAGTGGTGCCTGCAGATGTTTGCATGTAATTGCTCAGCCTGCGATTAACTGCGGACAACCACACCAGGATGCAGACTGTTTGTCTCACGGTACGGAAGTCCCAGTGCAGTCGTCTGCAGGTAATCGCAGGCTGTGCAATTACATGCAAACAACTGCAGGTGGTGGCAGCTGTCATTGTATAGTACTGCACCTCCCACCTGCAGCAAATCACAGGAGTCACCCAGAGATATCCATGAGACTAATGCGATCGGCACCATTCACAAGTGTGGACATGCAGCAACGCAGTCACTATACGGTAGTACTAAGTAGGAAGCTGAGGCTGCATATGTAGTGAACAAATATGGCTGCCCCTATGTACATATACAAACTAGACACGTAAACAAGGTTTTTTTTCCCCCTAATCATCATCTACTGAGCAGGAAAGAAAGCTGGGAAAATACTTTATTTCCCCTGCAACATATTTATGGCAAAATGGCTCTGGCACATCCCATTGTTTGACAACAACATGGTACAAGCCCGAATTTTCCTTCGACTCCGAAAGGTCAACGGAGCAGAGTTTTCACTAGGAACAGAGAGTTGCTATGTAAAAAATATCCTGTTTAATAAATTTGTGTTGCGAAAAATGTTAATCTGCTTTCCATCACGTTGCTCTGGGTCTGCTCGCTGCGCTCTGCCATAAAGTCAGTGGCGGAGTGCAGGGTGCAGTGATTCATCCAAGGAGGCCCTTGCCAGCAGAGGTGACCGGGGCCAGCGCCGGAGGAGAATGGAGAAATGCTTGGAATCAGTTCCTTCCCACTCCTAACAAACAGCGCAGCTCTACAGACAGGCAGAGGGCAGAGAGAGAGCGCCCCGCCAGGGAGGATCAGTCATACAATCGTATTGTATAATAGACTCCGGTCAAAGGGAAAATCAACACGATGGCGAGCAAGTTCAAGTAGCGCGCAGGGTGGACGGGAAATGGAATGGGATCATCCAGGAGTCAGGCAGCATGCTGTGTGCTGGGGGTGACAGCAGCCAGCATCAGGGGTAGGCAACCTCGGCCTACCCAAATCCCATCATGCTTCTGCCTCTGGGGGTCATACAGGTGGCTGTCAGAGTCTTGCAATGCCTCATGGGACTTGGAGTTCCCCCACAGCTGGGGTGCCAAGGTCACCAACCACTGGCTCTTTTCCGTTACATTGGAATGTCTGACAGCCATTTAGCTTTTATGGTTAAACACCAGGCATACATGTCAAATACATATGCGGGAGCATATAAAATGATTTGTATCCCTCCAGTTCTGAGATTTATACAGTTTTGCCTCAGGGGCGTCCCGAGGTCGGGTGTCAGGTGCCACCCCTCAGTGTCGTCACCACGCATGCGCGTGACATCACCTCGCGCATGCACAATGACGTCATCGCACATGCACGACCATCTAATTGATGCCTGCCGGTGAGCATCTTGGTGATGGACGCCGGCAGGGAGCGGACGGGACATTCACCCGGCGGGATGAGGTATGCCGTCGGGTCCCCTCCTCTCTCCGGGCACTGTCGGGCTCTCGGTCCATGTCCGAGTGCCCGACTTTTCAGAGGGGGTGACACCAAAATGACTGTCAGTCACAAGACCTGGCCTTGGGGCGGCAGGGAGAGTAAATCCGGCCCTGACTGTAAGCTCTTCTACCTTGTGTATCCTTCCTTATATACTAATAGATTGTAAGCTCTTCTACCCTCTGTATCCTCCCTTATACCTAATAGATTGTAAGCTCTTCTACCTTCTGTATCCTTCCTTATATACTAATAGATTGTAAGCTCTTCTACCCTCTGTATCCAACCTTATACCTAATAGATTGTAAGCTCTTCAACCTTCTGTATCCTTCCTTATATACTAATAGATTGTAAGCTCTTCTACCCTCTGTATCCTCCCTTATACCTAATAGATTGTAAGCTCTTCTACCTTCTGTATCCTTCCTTATATACTAATAGATTGTAAGCTCTTCTACCCTCTGTATCCTCCCTTATACCTAATAGATTGTAAGCTCTTCTACCTTCTGTATCCTTCCTTATATACTAATAGATTGTAAGCTCTTCTACCCTCTGTATCCTCCCTTATACCTAATAGATTGTAAGCTCTTCTACCTTCTGTATCCGTCCTTATATACTAATAGATTGTAAGCTCTTCTACCTTCTGTATCCTCCCTTATATACTAATAGATTGTAAGCTCTTCTACCCTCTGTATCCTCCCTTATACCTAATAGATTCTAAGCTCTTCTACCCTCTGTATCCTCCCTTATACCTAATAGATTGTAAGCTCTTCTACCTTCTGTATCCTCCCTTATATACTAATAGATTGTAAGCTCTTCTCCTCTACGTCTCTCTCTATCTTCTCATTCTCCATCTCTGATATTCTTTCCAAGAAACATGAAATCTGATGCTGCACCCGGCATCTTTCTACTTTTCTTGAGGAACCACAAGACCAAGCACACCCTGGCCATGCATGCACTCGTAGTTCCACATCAGCCTTGAGGTCACCAACCTCTGGGCTACAACGGTAGAAGTGGAGGGTGGAGGCGCTACAAGTCAAGGTCAGAGATAAAGTCAGTGGCAGAGCAGAGCCAGGCGCCTTTCTCTGTACATACTCAGATAAATAAACATTTAGCATAGCGGAGCGATGACATCATCCCCCGGAATATATGAGAACTCTTATCGACCCCCTCCCCTTACCGTCAAAGGGGGCAGAGAAGGGACTGCAGGGAGGAAGAAGACATTTTTGTAACCACTACTGGAACACTGTGCACCTGTGTGTGTGTACTGTTTAGTCATGAGTGGAATCCCACCGGATAAGAGGGAGCAGGAAATAAAAGCAGCGGGGGCAGCAAAGGGGACCCAAATGAGCCCCCTTTCTGGTCATGGAAGCAGTGAATGTGGAAGGAACAGAAGGAGAGGTGCGAGGAATAGATGACTGAGCCATGAAAGAATGGGTAGGAAGCAGCAGCCAGGGAAGAGAAGGAGGCTCTGGACACAGGAACAGAGGATGTGTCACAAACAGATGTGCAAAAGCATTACAGCATCACAAGACGGGGTAAGAGGGAGAAGGGGGTGCCGGAGGAGAGGGGAAGAAGGAGGGAGGAAGAGGAGAGAGGGAAAGGAGGAACGTTGGAGGGAGAGAGACAGAAAAGGAAAAACAAGCATTTATCATATCTGTTGATTAGAACCTGTTCCAGAGTAGCATTAAAGCCAAACTCCGGACACAAGAACTTTCTGCAATACTGCAATATATTCCTCAGTGACTGAAGAGGATATAAATCCACTTTGTGCGCACTGAATGCATTTGCAAACAGAATGTGCACAGAGCAGAGCTGTGGGAGGGCCCAGCAGGCTCCACCCACTACAGACTGTCTGTAGAAAGCTACAGGAGGGGCGGAGACAAGACCAGTCACCCTGCACAAGAGGAGAGAGCAGGAGTAACCAGTCTTTATTACAGGAGGGGGCGGAGACAAGATCAGTCACCCTGCACAAGGAGAGAGAGCATGAGTGACCAGTTTTTATTACAGGAGGGGGAGGAGACAAGACCAGTCACCCTGCACAAGGAGAGAGAGCAGCAGTGACCGGTCGTTATTACAGGAGGGGGCGGAGACAAGATCAGTCACCCTGCACAAGGAGAGAGAGCAGCAGTGACCGGTCGTTATTACAGGAGGGGGCGGAGACAAGATCAGTCACCCTGCACAAGGAGAGAGAGCAGCAGTGACCGGTCTTTATTACAGGAAGATCTGAGTCTGGATTACTGCACTGGTCTGGAAGAAATACACATAGCTCACTGAGATCCCAGGAAGAAAACACATGACTCTTGTATGTATGTAAGAAAAAAACATGGGACGCCTGTAGCAGAATTTTCTACATGAGCTACCTACCCATGTGTGTTGCGTACGCAGGAACCTTTTAAGTTGTTCCTTTGATACAAACTCATATAAATGTAACTATTGTGCAAGTTCTGTGTCTAGTCACCTGCACTCCTCCTTTAGATTTAGGGGTCTATTTATAAACAATTCTCCTTGTGAATCTCTGTGAACATTCATATTTATACAATATTTACGTCCTATGATTCTCAGCACCATCTAGGTAACTAGACACATCGTAGATGTAAACCTTAGGCTTGGGTGGGTTTCCTGACGGTGACAACACTGGACCATGCCGGTGTAATGTGCTGTAGTATGTAGGCTACATGTAATCTGCATTGGGAGAGCGTGTGACAACACAAGAGAACAATTCGGAGGCATGGGCAGAGCGTTGTCACCCTATAACAGGATGTTTGTAACAAGGACCTTATGTCAGGACAACCAAGTATTATTATACTGAAAACTGCAGATTTTTACAAATACGGAAAATATCTTTTGAAAGTTTACATGAGATCTTAGTGACTGGGTTTACGTATGTATGGGAAAACACAAGAGGGGACTGCAGCAGCTTGAAATAGATATGTCAAGGAAATCATCCCTGGATTGTTGGCTGGCAGGTAGCATCTACCCAGCCAAAGTGATGCAGAGAATGCCTCCTTCCTCCTCACTACGTATTACTCATGTTGAATGTTTTTTGTTTCTTTTCTTTGTACATGCTTTCAAGGTATGTGCTGTATAGAGACCAACATTTTATGGCCATTGCCTTTGAAGGGATTGGATAGCTTTACCATATCCCTTAATTGGAGGGACGATTTTCCTCTTTTGGAACACTACCCCTTAACTGGAGGGACTATTCCTTTTTTGGAACACTATCCCTTAATTGGAGGGACCATTTTCCTCTTTTGGAACACTATCCCTTAATTGAAGGGACTATTTTCCTCTTTTGGAACCTGATCCTTCTGTCCTTTTTTTCTTCTCAGATGTCCTTCTTTTTGGGCTGCCATTTAGACCTCTGTTAATAGCGTAGGGAGTACACTAGTCCTTACATCCATCCTCTTTATTATTGTATTAGTTATTTTACAAAGCCAGTGTAAAGTAAAACAATTGGCAGGAAAAATCAGTTGTGGGTTCATACAATCATTTTTTGAATCTTATTTGTTCATGTTCCGCGTGGGCGTGGCAGGGGTGTGTCATTCACCTACATTATTTTGTGCCTCTTTGTCATCTCAGAAATTTGAGAGGCATCGTATTGAGTCAGCCAGGTCAGCAATGTAACTTTTTAATTTTATTAGAAATGTGCTCCAATCCCAAATCCCCAGGCTTACATTGCTCTCCTTATTCTAACATTGGAGATTTCCTTTTACTTCCTGTCCCAGAGACACCACAGGAAGGGGACAGAAATCTCTGCTGCAGACGGGAGACTCGACCATCTGGCATCTCCATAGGAAAAATATGTGCTCTTCACCAGTTGCAATGACAAATGTTAACTTTTTTTCGCTTTCCATCACCTTCTGTTCTGGTTACAATGGTCACATGGGTAGATACTAAGAATACTGAGAAGGAATCTTCCCAGCGGGGTCACACACAGCTAAAAACACAGGATGCTGGTTTTAACCCTTTGTTGCTCCATGCAAACAAGCAAAAGGTCGTGGTCAGAGTTTCAGAGTTTCTGTACAGGGCGCAGTACCGACATCAACCAATCAGAATGCATTTTCTACTGGAAAGATCTGATTGGCTGCACTATTGAGGAATATATTTAAGTGAAAGTTTTTGTGCCCGGAGTTCAGCTTAAATAGTTCTAAATGGGCAACAGTGATGGAAAGACGACATCCGGAGAGAGTTAGAGGTATCAATGGCCATGCATACAACTCTCTATAGATGCCTGCTGCTGTTCCTTTACACTATGCAAAATCCAAGGGACCCCTCAACAACTGGGATGCAAATCTGAACCAGCTCCTGTGCTCAGGATGCTGGCACCGCTACCTATTATGATTGGCGGCCTCATCAGCCAACAGGGATGGGGAAGAGGTGCCTCATCAGCCAACATCAGCCAAGAGGTGCTTTCAGCACTAGTTGAGATTTGGGGCTCCTGTGAGCACATGTGCAGACAGACCCCCCACCCCCACTAAGGTGCCCACTTCCCATCACCGCTACCTATTAGAGATCACAGAGTCAGTATAAATCACCAGAAAATTTAGAAAATGTTTCACTTTTAAAAGAGCTTCAAATAGGAAAAAAAGACGGCAAACAAATGAGAACATTTGGAAAAAGACGGGTGAGAGGACGCGGCGAAGGGAAAGAGAATTATAAGCTGCAAAATATGAAAAAAAGAAACAAGACACCAAGAAAAATGATGAGAAAACAAGGAGAGGTGAATGAGAGGACAGAGGAGAGCGGAGTGCCAGATCTGGGCAGAGGAGAGGGGAGTGCCACAATAGGGCAGAGGAGAGCAGAGAGCCACAATAGGGCAGAGGAGAGCAGAGAGCCACAATAGGGCAGAGGAGAGCAGAGAGCCACAATAGGGCAGAGGAGGGCAGAGAGCCACAATAGGGCAGAGGAGAGCAGAGAGCCACAATAGGGCAGAGGAGAGCAGAGAGCCACAATAGGGCAGAGGAGAGCAGAGAGCCACAATAGGGCAGAGGAGAGCAGAGAGCCTGGCAGAGGAGAGCAGAGTGCCACAATAGGGCAGAGGAGAGCAGAGTGCCACAATAGGGCAGAGGAGAGCAGAGTGCCACAATAGGGCAGAGGAGAGCAGAGTGCCACAATAGGGCAGAGGAGAGCAGAGTGCCACAATAGGGCAGAGGAGAGCAGAGTGCCACAATAGGGCAGAGGAGAGCAGAGTGCCACAATAGGGCAGAGGAGAGCAGAGTGCCACAATAGGGCAGAGGAGAGCAGAGTGCCACAATAGGGCAGAGGAGAGCAGAGTGCCACAATAGGGCAGAGGAGAGCAGAGTGCCACAATAGGGCAGAGGAGAGCAGAGTGCCACAATAGGGCAGAGGAGAGCAGAGTGCCACAATAGGGCAGAGGAGAGCAGAGTGCCACAATAGGGCAGAGGAGAGCAG